ACACACAGCTGTAACTTCCTGCAGAGGGAGCAGGGCTGGGACAGAGGGTTCACCTGGCCCTCAGTTGCCTTAGCAGGTGTCGCAGGTGTGCCTTAGAAATCTCTCTCCACTTGAATAACACTTACCTATGTACCAACTCAAGAATTTGTATAGCCACTTAGTAATATTTCACTTGAGATACTACCTTTCTTCTCTGAGTCTCTTTCCTTATGGGTAAAATAGTGGTTTCCCCACCTCCACTCCCATCCCAAAAGGGCCCTTTAAAGTTCCTTCCAGCTCCACTTCCAGAAGATGTTCTCTGGATTCCTGCTCTTCCCCAAGTCCTCACTCAATGAACACTCCCTCCCAAAGGATTTCTGGGACTAAACTTCTATTTAAATTACTGACAACTGGCTCCCTGACCTTCACTAGGTCCTTATGTGGACTTTAAGTGCCAAGGCTGAAGACTGGGTCCAATCAACCCAAGTCCAAGAAGTTTGGTCAGTGGCTGAGGTTTAAGCTGTATGAGGTTAACTTCATTCTCAGGGTCTGAACCAGGGGGGTCCCCCAACCTGAGACCCTGGGCCCTATGGACTGTTGGAAGGGATAGAGCAGGAAGGTTAGAGGGCTCAGGGTTGCCCCAGAGCCCAGTGCTGAGCAATGTGCTCTAGAAGGGAGGGGGAGAGGGGAGGGGCACCACCCGCCCGGTGAGGTCATGGGAAAGCAGCTCTGGCGCTGACACCTGGGGAAACCCGTTTCCAGGCTGCTTCCCACGATAGCTCTCCTGGGAACCAGCTAAGCCCCAAGTGGGGAGCCCCAAACCTGCCCCCTAGTCCAGTTCCCATCACACTGTCCCATCTAGTCCAGCCCCCATCTTTCAATCTAGCTTCATTACTTTGGTACCCAACCCGTCTCTATCTTAACTGTTGGGCCTTGAAGGAGCAATGTACTGACCGCTCCAGGAAATAACACTGAGACAGCAGCTTCAGAAATGTAAGGCTTTATTTGTAGACTCCACACTGCCCTACCTTCTAGGCTGTGACCTTGGAGAAAGCCCCATCTTCCTCCGGGCTCCAGTTTGCAGCTACTTCCCTCCTCTTGCTGGGCTTTGCCTCTCACTTCCTGCCCAACTCCTGGCCCAGCCAGTCTGGGCAGTGCCTAGGGAGCCCTGAGACCCAGTTCTTCCCAGGGACCAGCCCCGCCCTCCCCAACCTTGGGAGCTGAGGGCAGCCCAGGTGTCAGCTTTGCTCCTCAGCTGCCCCACTTCTCTGCTCTCATTCTTCTTCCTTCCAAGCCTAGCCCTCTGCTCTACCTCCTCCTCCCCAACCTGCCTCCAGTCCCAAGGCTCCAAAGCTCCAAGGCTTCACTTTCTGCTCCCTCTCAACCTCTCACTGTCCTCTGTTGCACCCAATCCATCCTAAACTTCTTTCCAAATCTGGGCCGGACACCATCCAGCCCTCCAAGATGCCCAGCTGTTCCCCAGGCTTTTCCTCACCCCTGTGCCAAGGAGGGGGTGGGGACCAGCACGAGGGCCTGTGATAAGAAACTGGGAATTGGATCCCAAACTGCTTGGAGGTGGCTGACACTATCAGGATCATTTTATGAAAATCAAAGTACTGGGATTTCTCTGTGAGCCTTGTCCACAGAAATCCAAGTCAGAGCCTTCCCTCCTCCAGGATGGAGGCTCACCCTGGCATGTAAGAGTGGGCAGTTGGAGGCCCGTGTCTCCAGTGTTCAGACGGGAACTGAGTCCTATGGGGTGGCCTGGCCTTGCCAGCAGAGCCATCCAAGACCCTGTGCCCCAGTTTCTAGCAGTCTGTGGCCGTTGGCCTACTGCTCGTTTGCTGCCATAGCCGTTCAAACAAAGCAGAAGAACTTCTTCCAGCGGCAGCGGGAGAGGGTACGCACACCTTTGGCATTCAGTTTCTTCTCCAGCCGGGCTTTGTGCTCGATGGCACTGAGAATGGCTGAGTCAAATACCTCCTTCAAGTTCTTTTGAGTCAAGGCTGAGCACTCCAGGTAGCAACAGGCCCGGATCTTCTCCGCCAGACCCTGAGCCTGGGGTTGGGGTACTGGGCCCTCCCGGCCACCCTGGTCCAGCTGAATCAGTACATTGACATCGTCCCTCAGGTCGGCTTGGGTGCCCACCAGCAGGACGGGAGCCTGCGGGTTGTGAGTGCGGATCTCCGGCAGCCATTTCTCTGTGATGTTTTGAAAGGAGCTGGGCTGCACCACGCTGAAGCAGGCCAGGAAGACATCCGTATCCGGGTAGCAGAGGGAGCGAAGGCGGTCAAAGTCTTCCTGGGATGGAAAGGCCAGGCCATTAGTAGGGTTATTCCCTGCCACCAGAATTGGGAATCCTCTTGTCACCTGGGGTTGGAGACTGAGACTCCTAACCAAGGGCCCAGGGCCTTTTTCATTCCTGATCCATCCAGGGCCCTCCCAGCCTCCAGCCCACCTCACCCCAGACCAGCAGAGGCCGCTCCCAATTTCTCACCTGTCCCGCTGTGTCCCAGAGCTCAATGCGCACAGGGGCTCCATCAACCAGGACTTGCACTGCAGGGGCGGGGCAGGGGATACCATGAGTTAGAAAGAGCGTTCCGGGTCCCACCAGGCCTCACCAGCGCCACCTCGAGGCCTGCTCCCGCCTCCCTCTCCGGGGACTTCGGTGCACTCGCGCCTCAGCGCGGGCCCCAGCCCCCGAGCGCGCAACCCTATCCTCAGCCACGCAGCCGCCAGGGCCGTTGAACGTACCGGAGAAGGTGTCCAGCGCCGTGGGCCGGTAGCGCGCGGGGTACCCATTGCAGGTGTAGCTGACGATGAGGCTGCTCTTGC